ATGGATATAGAATGGAGGCTGCACGAGCGTTTTCTTTTTCCAATACAATCACGCGATGAGCTTTCAAAGGTAAAATAAAGAAAGAAAGAAAAAATGAAATAGGACGATTGCGAAGGGGAAAAATGGGGGAACGGTTTTGAAATGTTGGGGCGAATTTTATTTTACGTAATAGAATTTGCCAAAGAAATTGCCACTTTCACGTTTTGATCGACACATATTGAAAGACATTCAGAGAAATGTATTTACTCATATTCTTGCGCGAATCATTATGCATTTCGAAATCGGAATAAGACGGCTGATCCGCGGGAGAAAATAGAAAATAGAAACGCCCTCGGAAAGAGTTGCATGCGCTTGATTTCTATCTGATAGAATTTACGTTGTCAAAATTGTTTCTTGCGCGTTTTGACCGATATAGTTATATCGATGGGTACTCCTGTAAACTCGATTTGATTTGAAAAAGATTGATTTTGATTGAAAATATCGATATCGAAACTGAATGATTGAGAATAAAATTCGAAAGAAAAAAAAGCCGACGTGTAATTTCATATTTTTGATAACGGATCTGTAAATGGATCAAGAAACAAGTTCTACATATTTCCAATATCTTTCTATCCTCGTTGTCTCTATATTTTTGTTATATCTATTATATCTATATCTATTAGATATAAGGAGAGAAATGTGAGTTTTGTAAAACGAATTTTTAAAAACTAGAATTTTCAAAAACTTATATATCATTGAACCTACTATATATTTGTGTGTGTGTGTGTGTGTGTGTGTGTGTAAAACGTGAAATTTGGACGATACATATAAAACGAGATTGCGCGTCTCTCTATGCAATCGTAGAAGACATGCGGAACAAATTATAAAAGCAGTGAAGTTCACCGCTCGACGTCAGGACGAAAGTAGGCAATAGTGAGGCCATTTATCATTATAATAATCCGGGCTAATTCGAGAGCAGGAACGTGCGCGACAGATCGATGTTGTTTAATGATTCAGCATAAACTTTCTCGCTCGAGAGCGCGCATTGCGAAGAACGGTGTGGCGCATGGAGCGAACGAGGGAATGCGGGCGCGAAGGCCTTTAAATACCCAGTTACCTGGATGAACTGTATCCAATAACAAAACGTTCCCGGCTTAACACGCGCTTCCACACGCGGGAGGGGTGGAAGAGGAGGGGAGGCTGATTATGAAAGAAAAAGGTTGAGATGGCACGAACGCGATGGAAATGGAGGAGTCCGCTCGTTGTGCAGCGAAACGGCGGTGTTTAGTCAGGGGTTGACCTGAATTCAGGTGGGGTGAATCAATATCCTGCCTGCTTGCCTGCCTGCCTGCCTGGCTGGTTGGTTGGCTGGCTGGCTGGCTAGCCGCGTGCTCTGTTCGCTTCGCAGTTACCGTAGCAACCAGACTCCTTCCTTTATTAAAATATGACCTATGTCCTTTTCCGGGTTATCATCATTATGCGGCGCGTATTACGCGATTACATGACGATCAGGGAAAGATTAGGGATTATCGTCGGAAAGCGCAGGTAGTTCCAGTCAGCCGGGTTGTATTACGATCAACCGGCTCGTCCGATGGTGCAGGCCAAAGTGGAATAGCCTTCGTGACTCCAAGGGTACAACCTTGGTACCTTGAGTCTCTCGCTCTGGTTCGACGAACTCTATCGCCCAGTGTCACGCGAGCTATAAACTCGCTCTAGAGCAACTCTCACGGTCGTCCCCGTCAGTCCTCTCAAAATTTCCGTCGGCAAACATTGAATTCAGAAAATATGATTGAAACTGCGAAAAGACTGGATCTTTCCAGTCTTTGTCAATTTATGCGTTTTACTGATAGTCGTCTTCTTTATGTCTTTGTGACGTAGGTTCAATTCGGATTGTACCGTTGGAATATTTTATAAAGATGAATGAAATGTTCGGTTGTATTAAAGATATATAAAGACTTTTAATGTTATTGTTTGAAGAATAGGCGGTTCGTAAATAAGAGACTAAATTCAGTGCAGATGCGACAGTTAATAAAATGTCAATTAATTAATAAGTTAACTTCGCCATATTCTGGAATTATTGCTGGAAAACGTCGCGCGGTCCGCATTTATCCAGTCTCGTTAATGTTACAATTATCCTCATTGATCTTACTTTAATTGCACTCGCCCCCGGAGATAGGTCACCGTTTCCACTATTTCGGGCGGAGATGCAGCATTTAACTTTTAAACGACCGGCTAAAAACAGAAGTCGACAGCCGTCGCTATATATCAGCCGTGTGGCACCGGTCTTTGTTTACGTGGCGATTAATGTCGTTTCATCGAATCCGTCGCGTTTCCGCACGCGGACTGCCAGACCAGGCGGTAACGGTATTTGGCCGCGCCGATGAACCGAATAAACATCCAGGTCAGCACACGTGATAGCCTCGAGTGATCGTTTGACGAGAAAGAGAGGAAGAGAGAGAGAGAGAGAGAGAGAGAGAGAGAGAGAGAGAGGGGCTGCGCTGCACGTACTCTAAAATCCGCTACGAGGCGAGGATCTATTTATATCACGGTAACGAGCTCTTGTGTGTGGGATTGCGCTCCTGCGAAACGGAGCTCGCGGAATTTCCTCGAGAACGCGCAATGTTCATCGGAGATATTCGAATCTGTACGGTCGAACGGCGCGACGAGATAACGCCAAATGACTCACTCTACCGTGCATGTGTGTTTGGAAACGAGAGGCGGCCGCGAGATGCGGCCAGATCAACAGAATAATATACTTTACGTGGCGCGACAGCGCTCCAGCTTTGCTCAGTCATTCTTACGAGGTACATACATCCTTCTTACGATATCAAATGTGAATTGGAGAAATAGAAGCACAAGACGGTTTATTCATCATCCATTTCCTTTTCGAAACGCAAACATATAATTTGAAGAAGTAACTTCACTTTTTTTATCCCTGGCACTTTGAGTCTCGTTCAGCTCGTGTTCTTGGCATGTGGAGCCCCGCGAGTCTTTCATCATGGATATATATTTATTGAGTATTACAGACCCGACAGTCTCTACTTTCCGACAAAGTGTAGCACTCTGTATTTTTCTTCATTTGCGACTCATTTACGACTTTAGTTTTATGGATACATAAATCATATAAGAAAAGAACTACGTCTGACAAGTTATATACGCCCGGCAACCGAATACGAACGTGTTTCCATTCAGGTTCAGAGATACTTGCCCTAATCCGATTTTATCGGGCGATCCTATACGAACCCGAACGCGAGAGAGAGAGAGCTCGTAAGTTTCCACGGACGGAGTGACAGTTCGGAGATCGGGGTCGATAGGTCAGGTAGGGATAGCAAGTGACAAAGACCGATAGCCTCGAGTTCAGCGGAGTAATAGGCTCGCCAACCTCTACTTAGCCTCGGCTACTTCCAACTGCTAATTAATCTTGAGCCCTTCATCCGCGGCCGTGGAACCGCAGTCGCCGATTGTCAAGGTGGGACGAGAAAGGTCAGCTGTGACAGATTGTTTTGGGCGACGTATTCGCAGAAAGATGTACGTAATGGGAACAAGTGGGCTTTAATTAATCCTGCGTCAAGACCTCGGCGTGGGGGTATATCCGGTGTCCCCCGCCGCCGGTGTGAGATACATTAAGTAAAAGGCGTCCCCGCCCCCGCGCACACAAACTTCCCCTCAACATTTTACACGGAGACGCACCGCGCTCGTCCCTAATGACGGATTCCTCGAGTAAACTGAGGAGACAAGAATTCTCATAACAAAATGTCGGGAATTTAATAGCTTTTGTGTTGTGAGCGATTGAGAGTAAATTGCCTTTCGTCAACTAGAGAACACACACAAATTGATAACGAAACTTTATATTCTTCGGTTTAATTTTCTCCGGGGAATAAACTTTAAACTGAAAATTAATCTCATTTTAATTTGGTTATTAATTCCCGAAGTTTATTTAATGTCAAACATTGAAAAGTTATGACAAATCACTTCTCCCGACATTCTCGTTAAAGGGAAACTCGATTTCTAGTTTATCAAACATTGAATCGCTAATGGTCGTTCTCGCAACAACAAAAAACGGAAAGAAAATTAAATATACTTCTCTTCGTAAGTATTTATTTACACTTTAAAAGTTACTCTACAATTCGTATGTTCAATAATGGGCAAGAAATGTCTGGCGACTTTTTCAATTCTCCCTACAAAGAAAAGTGACTTCGCTTTTTCTAGAAAAAAAAAACGAAATTATATATTATTTCTATAATAAGATATGCCATTATGTCATCTTATACTGTTTGCTGATTTAAACCTAAGCCATCTTCTCGCTCGACGGCTATTAAACTTTTGCCAAGTCGAGACACGTAATACCGTAACTCACGTACAAGTTTGAAGCTGCCAACAAGAAGTTATACGATTATATGGGCACGTACATTAAATACACGGGTAATGCAAATCGCGTCGGTCGACCGACGTTGATTCTTCAGTTTGCGAATATTAGCCGCGGCTATATTGTGCGCGGCGATAGCTTATAGCTTTCGCGAATATTAGCTTCCTAGGAGAACGCGAATAAAGAATCCGGCAAGGTACGCTTGGGAGAACGTGAAAGAAGCGCAGGCAATTCTTTGTGCGTGCGAGTCGGTCTCTGAAAATTAAGTTCGTAGACATATTTCTCACTCGGCTGAGCTGTCTAAGCTGACAGTGCTGAAAGCGCGATAAAGCATGCAGTTTACTTCCTTAACTTTACTCCATTAGACTTCATACATGCTTCGTTTGCATGAACCATTTTTTGTTTTTTTTTTTCATTTATGATGAAAATTATTAATTGATATTTTTAACGAACAAAAAAAATAGAAACGTTAAAAAATATTGAGAAGTGTTTCGATTCCGATTAATATTTCAATCGACGAATGTCTATGGTTCGCTTCAAAAGAGATAACAATTGAATTAGATGAATTTAAATAAATTTCGTCCGAAAAAGACTGGACTCTCTCTCGCTGGCACGCGATCTTACCGTGTGACAGAAATCGCAGAAGCGCACTTACCCGTCTGGACGAGTTTGAGCGCGACGCCATTGTGCTGCTTGAGCGGCTCGTTGAGACTCGGCTGCGTGAGGTCCTTGAGGGGATGGTTGGCGGCTTCTTCGGAGCCGGAGGCACGATTATTTTGCATAGTCCTGGCGTGCTGTTCCTCGTTTCGGCGTCCCTCTTTCCTGCCGGCGTCGCTGCCGTCGCCGTTACGCACGGTTTGCCTCCTGCTGGCCGCCGCCGCCGGCTGACTAATCTCTCGCTTTTTCTCCTTGCGCTTGCGGACGTCGTTCGCGACGACGATTCGCTGCTGCTGATAATGCGACTGCTGCGATTGCTGCTGCTGCTGCTGCTGATAATGCTGCTGATTTATCTCCTCGTAATCGACGTTCACAGCCGCTGCGTCGTTGACAGTCAATGGCACGGACTGATCCCGAATCGGATTTTCATAGATACGCAGGAGCTCGTCCGCCGGGTAGAAGACGTACATGCCCAGAAATCGTCGCTAGCGTAGCCGTTATCGCTGCTGCTGTCGCTGCTGTTGTACCGTTGGCCGCGGTCGTGGCCGCTGGCGTAGCCGACGCCGTCGCGGATTCCGCTACTGCATCCGTTGTTGCTGCCGTTGCTGATGCTGCTGCTGCTGCTGCTGCCGCCGCACTTCTCGGATCCGCACGAGCCAACATCGCTGTCCAGCGATACATTCTCGGTGATGCTGCGTGCGGGAACGATATCGGCGCCGGCCGCCGTCAGGAGATGCATGATTTTCTTTCTTTCTTTTAGCGATTAAAGCGTCGCGCCCCCGCGATGTATCGCCGGGTGCCGCGCGTGCGACGCGACGCCTATCTCGTTAAATCACCGTCGTTCTCGTCGTCGTCGTCGTCGTCGTCGTCGTCGTTCTTTTCCGTCACGCCGTCGATACACTGCAAACGGCCAGGAATAATCGATTTTCGATCGCTCTTTTCCAATCGCTCGAATATAGTCGCCTATATATGTCTGTGAACCTCATCATGAAAAAAATGTTCAAATATATGCCACAATTAAGTGATAATTTATTACTATTTTATTATCCTAGTCCCGAATTTATTGTTCCTATACGCGTTGAATAATTATGATTTATGGGTGTCCTAATATCGATTATTAATAACCATATTATTTATAACCGTATAAGAGTATAACGATAAAAAATAAAAACCTAACTGTATAAGTTTTTCTAAACTGTTATTCGAATTAAATACTCGCAAAACATGTTACTTTGGAATTTATTACTCACAAAACAGTTTAAAAATTATTAAAAACATAAGGCTACAAAAATAAATTAAAGAGTATATTAAACAATTTAGTTGCTGTGCCAATTTTGATTTATTATAATATCGTTTTTTTTTTTTAGAAAAATCTGTAACAACAGTTTGTGCAGTTAGTCAAAGAAGCATCTGCGATCTCAACCTGTCACTAAGTTAAAAGTTATATTTTCAACTTTTTTTTCTCTCTTATTTCATCGTTAACTTACCCTAGAATTTTATACACGTCAAGTTCGGTACTTCATTATATAAAAAAATTGGACATTTCACATAATAAACTCGATTTACTAAAGAACCACCTTACGTTAAAAAAATCCATCAGGAGTGTAACGGTGTTAGCGCACGTAACAGTAAAATACAATTATTTAAAATTCTTGATGTTTCTTTATACTATCTCATTGTTAGAGCAAAAGATTAGTAAAAAATTGTGTTATACTATTTTTTTGTTTTACAGTACTCTGTACGTGTTTTTCGAAAATGAGAATGCTAATATAATGTAAAGTCAGCACCCCCATTTTTTCTATTTATTTGCTATGAACAGGCAGGAACAATAAATTTGGAGCTAAGGCAATAAATTAGCATTTAATTATGACATACATATATTCGAACTTATTTTCTAATAGTGCAGATGTTAGGTTCATAGACTCGCCTATTCTTTACAAAAAGCACGGATTTTAAGAAAGTTGTCGCTAGTTTTTTTTTCTACTCATATTTCTTTGCTTTTCTTAAATTATTTTCTTGTTATTTCGGAAGCAATCTTGGAAGCAATACATATAAATTACTGACTTATTATACATATGTAAAAATGAAATAAAAGTTCTTCTCTAGGTTATTTTTGAAAAATACATAATACATAAAAAAATGTACAGCAATCAAATATTTAAATATTTCTTTCTCAAAAATCAATCTGTCTGTTTATTACGTGTTGTTTATTTTAGCCGTTGAAAAAATTTGTCAATTCACTTTTATATGCTCGAATAAATCGATTATTCAAATTGGCCATTCTTACAGTATTTTACTGGCGATTGTTTTCGACGAGAGAGATGTGACACGATTTGAGGGGCTCGGATTTATGTTGTCGGTAGTTCTCGAGGCCTCTTGGGCTGAAACAGAAAGATTTGACGCAAGATTAATATCGATGTCCATTCGCTTTTAAGAACGTGATTGCGTTTTATTTAAGGTTCCTTACTCGCAGCTATTATTTGCCTTATCGAACAGAATAACAGTGTAACTTCTCGACATAAAGAAACTTAATTTTTCTTTTTATTTCAACATTAAGAAGTAATTACTTTATACGTCTAATCTTATCTTTTTGATTTTACTAGATGTTTAAAAGTAACGTGTTATAAACATCTTCAGAGTATTTTCCTTTTAGAGAGAAACTTCACTAAAAAATAAAGGAAGAGTGGTTAGCTTTTTCAGCAAAATTTTTGAACGGTGCAAAAACATATAATTCAAAAAACAGACAAAACAAACTTTCTTCATCATTTTGATGGACAAAAGAGTAAAATTTGAAAAAAAAAATTTAACACACTCTTTCTTTACATTATCGATATTTTTAAGATGTGTACTTCTGTTCCAATTAAAGCACAATTTTAGACATGGTAAATAAATCGTCGGTATGACTTGCTTTTCCTGAAAATTTCGGAGTGCAGACACACGTTATAATTCGGGGGAGGATAAACAAACTTTTTCACTGTTTTGATGAGCGGAAGTAGGTCTTGAAAATATTTAACGTTCATCTCTCTCCTCTCTTTCTCTCTCCTTTCCTCTTTTCTTCTTCTTTACCTTCCTTTTTCCTTTTCAAAACATATCTCCGCTCCGATCTGAGCACACACATCTTACACGTCTAACATACAAATCGTACGACGATTCGCCAGAGATGTGGCTCGTACCTCGGAGTTCGAAATGCGCTAAAAACGAAATGTGCAGTAGCGGAGCAACTTGCAAGATAATGCATCATCTGCGACACGTGTGTATCGCAGATGATACACCTGTAGAATATATTTCATGCGCACGTGCGAGTTATCGTTAGGGGCCATAAAGATACTTTGATGAATTCTCTCTCTCTCTCTCTCTCTCTCTCTCTCTCTCTCGCTGTCGGGACGATCGTGTGTCAGGGGATCGTCTCGATATAAGTATTGCATGATTCACGGATTATCGCGTGCTATATAAACTACGCGGAAGTTTACGTGCACTTTTCGACGTGGGAACCGGCGCACGTGCCCCGCGAAAGAAACATATCAATCAATTGTGATAACACTCGGAAATCCACCCCGGCCGATAGTCACGTACTGAGGTAACTCGGTTATGTTGTTCGTGGAAATACATAGTGTATACATAATACGTTTGGCACGTTACCATAAAGAGTGCGTGTGTCACACGCATTTAGATCACACTCGCAAAATATTTACAATTTTGTGGATTATAAATTCATCATTAATTCTCTTTTTTCCATTTCAGGAGATAATGATTATATATATATATATATATATATATATAATCAAATTATTTGCATATGTATATAATAGAGATGCATACATGTTAGTGTCTCATGTCATTATAGAAATTGTTTTTACGGGAGTTAAACAAATTTATATATTTATTAAGAAGATTTTATTATATATAAGTAGATCAAAGTCTCATCGACAACAATTCATCAGCACTGCGTTAAGAACGACATATATCAATTAATATATATATATATATATATATATATATGTATATGTATATATGTATAGAATAGATAATTACAATTTCGTTATAATGGACGGTCGCGCTAATGACACTTTAAAATCACTCTCTTGGCACGATATAAATTAATACATATATATCCGTTCTTTTAAAGACCGCGCACACGCGCGCGCGCGCAGCGCGGTGACGGTAATCATATTTTTGTGTCATAATGCACGGCCTGCGTTTAAGCGCTCGCGGAGCTAAATCATCTTTTTTTTTCGGCCGTTAAAAGCGTGGCGGAAATCCCGTTATGCAATGGGATTATGTCATTCCCGCTGCGGCGCATCCTCCTCAAATTTGCCGAAAGTGCCCTCCGCTCCAGAAGAAGCCGCTCGTAAAATGCTAAAGCTTTCTCGAGACTCTTTAAGTCGAGACTCTTTAAATGTAATAGTTCGAGTTCTTAACACGCCATTTGGCTCCTTAAAGATTATATTATTTCTTTCAACGTGATGGAAATGAGCCATTTAACGGGACGGAATAATGATGCAAGTCGGTAAAAATAAAATTCTACCATTCCAAAATTCTTTTCGTGTACACTTGATCGTCTCACACATGACACTTTCTATTTTTAAAAAGAACTTGAACAAAATATAATTAAAAAGTAAGTACATTAAAGAGTTAATTTAGCAGAAGAGATTTAGGGATCGTCTGTAACACGTAGAATAGGATTGCGTAAAATAAGTTTTTCCATATTTCCACAATCTTATACATCGAGCTCATTTGTTCTTCGCAATAGGAAGATGTGACTTACATGAGCGGAAATTCGTTACGGAAATTTTATTAACTTTACATGAACACAATCTCTGCACACGATAAAATAGGATATGGTAACAGATAAGAAGTTCCACGTATACATGGAGGAGGTGAAAGAGATTGCTTAGACCTTCCACCCCCCCCTCCCCCCCGTGCGAAACATGTATACATGATGTGTGCAGATCTCGTTTACGAGAGGATGTATACGAGGAAAATTGCATTCAGGCTGATGAATCGCGGGATACCGCACCGATATTAAAATTTGCAGCACACACGCCACGGTAGATCAGTTCTCTTTTTTTTTTCTCTCACGATGACAGCGCGTGTTATAAGCTTCTTGAAATGTAATTATGTCGCGAAAGTCGCAAAAAAAAAAGGAGATGCGCTTCGGAGGTTCATTTGCGAAATGCCGATTGAGAGTGAGAGAGAGAGAGAGAGAGAGAGAGAGAGAGACAGAGAGAGAGAGAGACAGAGAGAGAGAGACAGTGAGCGCATCCCTTGGTTGGAGCGCGAGGATTGGCCGTACTTTAAACGACGCTCGTTAGGAGCAATGTAAATGCCTCCCGGGGACTCGTTGTGATTCTTCGGAACACAAATTTCGCGTGATTATTTGCGCTCGAGTGCTTTTCCAGATGTTATATTTATGATGTTAAACTCACGGAAAGAGCTCTTTGAGTGTTTGCAGACTGTCTCATTAGCGACGTGAAACTTTGTTGGTACGCGCACTATTCTCCTGCGTTCGAACTAACATCGAGAATCCGAAAGACGTTTCGCGAAAATTTCTTAAAAGGCTTGAAGGAGGGGAGATTGAAATATATGTAATAAAATCAATACTATTATCGAGAGCGCATCTTTGTTCGAAAAGAATGGTTTTGCTAAAGTATCTAAAAATTTAATCAGATTGTATACAGATCTGAAAGTAATTTTATTAGACCGTCACAATGACGTAGGACGCTCAAGCTGGTTGTTAGAATGTGCAAAACTTTTTGCAGCATTGCTCATTATGCTTGAGCGTCCTACATAATACATTATTCTGATAGTCCAACGACGTTATATTTAGACCCTGTATATCTAGCTAAATTTTTAGTTCAGCAAAATCGCGTAACTTCAGCAATTTCTTTCCGTGTAACAGTTGTATTGACTATATTGACGCTTAATTTTCACATACTTTAACGGTGTTGAAAGACTGGTGTGGAAAATATTTTTTAAAATCATCATTTGCGGTATGTGAATTATGTCATTTATATTAATAGTAAAGTTTCACGTATAGAATTTTTTTTGTACAAAATGTGGAACACTTCACGATTTTGCGTGCCATCCTTGCGCAGAGACCACGCTAATCTTCTCTGTATCGTTCCAATTTTAGCATATGCGTTGTCGAAACAGATACTTTTTTTTATTTTTTTAAATATTAAAGAAGTCTGTAACAAATAGAAACGCATCATCTTTATATATGTGAATGTAATATTTCTATAGAAGTTACACACTCATTATATAAATGTGATACATTTTTATTTTTTACAGACTTAACGATCTCAAATACTGATAAAGAAAATTATGTAATATACAATATTTTCTTCTTCATGTGCCATATCCGATCACGGACGTTATAGGCGATCTTTTCTGCATATATCCGAAGATATACGAAATTTACAATTTTAACGCCGGTTCTGAACGGTCTATTTAGAAGAGGTTTTCTTAGCAGAAAATACCCTCGATGGTCATTGCCTTCCGAGAGGTGGCGATCGCTTCAAATCGATTTTAGAGTTATATTGTCCTAGGTGGATTAAAGATCTAACCTGGATCTTTGGCATAGAAAGCTGCCACGCAGCTCCTCGCGCCACGATCGCCACAAGTATTAATAGTAAAGTAAATAATATAAATAAATGAGGTAAATTTCGCATAATAGAGGTATGAATTGGCAAAAAAGTAATACTTGAAATATTTTACGGTAATATATATTAATTATTGCAGTCTTTACATGTAATTGCTTCGGCGTGACGTACGCACTTTGAGAGTCTCCGCTTTAACAGAAGAAAAACGATAAAAAAAAGTGCTACGACGAAGTGGCTGGATCTTATGTTGAGTACTTCTGTGCGAGCCCTTTTGTTTTTTCAAAATGATGGAATTATCACTTATACTGTTGTGTTTCGCCCACCACCGGCTTAAATTTAGCTTTGAGTGGAATCGCGAGGGAGGAGGGCAGAGGGGACAAAAGAGGTTTACACGCGAAGGTACCGAATACAAACCTCATCGATCGGCTCGAAATGTCGTCGTCGAAACGCGATCGAAGCAACAAGCTATTTCGCGAGTTTCCATTGCGTGACGGAACAGAGGAAGGAGAGAGAGAAAGCGGAGAGAGAGAGAGAGGA